CGTTTTCAGAAGTCTCCGTTTTGGTCCGTTTACGCTGAAACACAACCCCAGAGTTTTCAAACTAAAACGAGGTCTGCAACGTTTTCAGAAGTCTCCGTTTTGGTCCGTTTACGCTGAAACGCAACCCCAGAGTTTTCGAACTAAAACGAGGTCTGCAGCGTTTTCAAAAGTCTCCGTTTTGGTCCGTTTACGCTGAAACGCAACCCCGGAGTTTTCAAACTAAAACGAGGTCTGCAACGTTTTCAGAAGTCTCCGTTTTGGTCCGTTTACGCTGAAACGCAACCCCAGAGTTTTCAAACTAAGACGAGGTCTGCAGCGTTTTCAGAAGTCTCCGTTTTGGTCCGTTTATGCTGAAACGCAACCCCAGAGTTTTCAAACTAAAACTAGGTCTGCAGCATTTTCAAAAGTCTCCGTTTTGGTCCGTTTACGCTGAAACACAACCCCAGAGTTTTCAAACTAAAACGAGGTCTGCAACGTTTTCAGAAGTCTCCGTTTTGGTCCGTTTACGCTGAAACGCAACCCCAGAGTTTTCGAACTAAAACGAGGTCTGCAGCGTTTTCAAAAGTCTCCGTCTTGGTCCGTTTACGCTGAAACGCAACCCCGGAGTTTTCAAACTAAAATGAGGTCTGCAGCGTTTTCAGAAGTCTCCGTTTTGGTCCGTTTACGCTGAAACACAACCCCAGAGTTTTCAAACTAAAACGAGGTCTGCAACGTTTTCAGAAGTCTCCGTTTTGGTCCGTTTACGCTGAAACGCAACCCCGGAGTTTTCAAACTAAAATGAGGTCTGCATTATTGTGGCAGGGCCTACTAACAGTTATTCTAGCACATGGTAGGATGTTTGATAAAGCTCCTTTCATCTGTGTCTCATAGTAATTAGCCTGTAGAAGTATTACAACACAGCAGTATTAACTTCATCAGGTATACATGTGATTATCAAATCATACCGTACCATTTCCCATGAGTATTACTACTTTAAAAAACAACAACAACAACAACTGTCATATTTCTTTATTAATAAACTATTGTGAATCAGGCTAAATGGTTAATGGTGTTCTGGTTAAAAGAAGGCAGCCATATGAAACGCAGCAGTGGATTTTGTGATCATGATCAGAACCACACTCCCACAGTTTACTGATCCCAACAACCATCACAACAAAATTACATTAGCATGGGTCGAGGGGTTTCCAAGGAATCAACAAGAGCCGGTCTCTTCCGGCTGAGGTTGGAGGAGCACATGGTGTTCACACAGACCCGATCGAACAACACAAGCTACAGAAACCAGATTAAAAATTCTCACCGTGAAAATCTGTGTGAAGCGTCACATTCTGACATCCTGGAGTCCACCTCGCCCAGCTTCAAAGGAAAGAAGAACAAATACAGTGTTAGGGGTCCTTTAGTTGACAACACAGAATCGATCTCTGTAACACATTTAAATACTGAAATTAAAATTTTTATGACCAATAGGCTAACAAGAAATCAGGATAGCTGATGACTGACATCATGTCTATATGCAATAATGGGCTAAAACAATTAGATAACAACTGAGAAGAACACAGACAGTATACAGCGTTCTAAATAATGACTCATCATTTGGAAAATGTGAATACTCTGTAAAGTTACCAGACAGTGGCCGGTAAATTACATTGTACATGCAACTTCAAATGCCGTTTAAGCTATTGGAAAATTTACCATCAGAGGTTTAACTTGGATGTCTGTACATGTGGTGACATATACAATAAATGGATATTCCCGGATGAATAAACAAAGCCTAATGTTATGTATGAGCAATAGGAGTGTGCTCACTTTCTCGACTGTGTTTAGGTATTTGTGGTCTACAGCATATCTTTGGCCTAAGACTTCATTAGGGTTATGTAACACACCAGCACTGATTGGTATCTGCAACAGCTTCCCAAAAACTGTGCTGTCACACTCACTGCAATGGCACCACCATTAACACCAGGCCCCTACTGACCATTGAAACCCATCCTTAACTGACAACAAACAGCAGGCAAGCTCAGACTGAGAGAGATGAACTGTAATCTGGACAGAAGTGGGGTATCTTGCGTCCGGCGTGTGTCATTCAGGGATTTGGGGAGTAACTCGCAGCTCAAGCCAGAGTCTATTTCTAGAAGATTTCCTAAAATAAAGCCCTGAGCTCCCAATCTGGCAGTAGAGAGCAAAAAGCTCCTCCTGTACCCGTGACGTCACTGCTGACGAAACACTGATCTCGTAAAGAAGGTCAACAGACCTCCAGCGAGAACCGCTGCAACGGAGTCATTCGACCGGCAAACCTGATCCACGTTAAAGCAAGACGGCAAAACCACCGAGGACCAGATGGTTCATTAGCACATTTATTAAGGGAGTTCAACCAAAAATCGTGTACTCATTTTTATGTTGTTCCAAACGTACACGACTTTCTTTTTTCCACAAAATGAGTAGAGTGACCAAGAGCTGCCAATTTACAAAAACATCACCACTGAGGTATTACGAAAGTAGTCCATAAGACACATGCGGTGTTTTTAACGTCTCCTCAAGTCAAACAATAACTTTGTCTAAGGAACAGACTAAAAAACATGCCAGAGCAGCACGAACATTCTGCTAAAAGTCACCTTTTGTGTTCCACCAAAAAGTCTTGACCGTTACAGAAAGTTGCGCAGGGCTGCTCCTGTGTACTCCTGCATTTCTGTCGTTTCATAAGCGCCACCTACTGACAGAGAACGAATTTGTATTTTCATTCAGCTGGTCTGCAATGAAAATCAGGCTTTGAAGTGTCTATGTCCAGTATGAAGGGCACTGCCACTGACATAAGAACAAGTGAACATCCCTTCACAATAAATGGAAAGGGACATTTTACCCACAAGCCATTGCGCATTATTCTCAGTTCTGCTAAAATAAACCAGGTGAAAATGAAGCAATGCTCCGGTATTTTGCAGTTGTCTTCAGCTGGCTAAAAATGCTTTGGTAGTCACACAGCCTTAGTTTTTTTTGCAATGACCAATTGCATTCGTTCACTTTTAAATTAGTTTAAAATTTACACTGGCCATATGGTCATTTATATTTGTTTGCACAAGTATATAGTCATCACATCACAAACTTCTCTAATCTTCTACATTGCTGTTTGTGGCTCAGTTTGGATGTGACTACCTGCTTTAGTGGATACCTGTGTGGAAACAGTCATTGGTTTTGCATTACCTTGTGGTCAAACAGAAATCACACACCGCAACTTTAAAAACAATTAAATGTCAGGAACTCCTCAAACTCTTCCACAAGACCAGAAGAGATGATCTGAGCTGCTACCCACCATTACTTTAGAGAGGCTTAGTCTTACTGTCTTGTCAGCAACACCCTCATTTTACTTTCTCTTTATGGAGATGGATTTGAGTCCATGGATCATAACTGAGAGCGATCTGTTATCAAACACTCGCTGTACGTCAGGTGCTTATGGAGCCGCCAGGACTGCTGCCTGACACCAATTAGTCTCGCTGAGTGACATGGAAATGTTTTCTGGGAAATCGTACGCAGGTCGACAGGAGAGCTGCCAAAGAGCGGCTGCACAATCAGGTGTGGCGAGTTGATGTAACATGCTCGATATTCGATACGGATGAGAATGCTGAATGTGTTTACTGTCTGTCGTTTCAAGCGTCTGTGCTGATGTGCACATAATTGAATCTGCACTAGGGGTGTGCGATATATATCGTCTGCGATAACACTGTAATTGTTGTTTTAACGATGTGTGATTTGACATTGTAGATGTTTTTTGAACGTTTTTTGCAAAATACTCGATAGAGCGCACGCATGCATTACGTGAAGTCTAGACTAGTGCGAGTGCGTTCTTTCACTGCATGATTCAGTCTATTAAAATACATTTAGAATGGTCACAAAATTCAAGATATGGGGGCAGAAAATTTATATTTATACCATTTCATATAGTTAATCAATTACACGAAGAGTGCCGTCTTTTCTCCAAAAATTACCATCATTACAGATGTGATATTGATTTTTTACAACAGTCCAACGAACAAGAAGTTAATTAAGAGACTTGCGTTTTATACACCATATTTCCTGTTTTTGTGCCATTTCGATAACAAAAATAATTCCAAACACAGCCACAGCACTGCTTTGCGTCTTTGAGCAACATGACGGTGTTTCGTTCCTGAATGAATCACCCGTTTAAATGGTTCGTTTCAATCGCAATGACTCACTTATTAACAGTGACTTGCTGCCACCTACTGGCGGTTTTAATTTCACATTTATAGTAACTTTTTATTATTTAAATAATTTCAAATAATAGTATTCAACGTTTTAATGTTTATAATATGTGACCCTGGACCACAAAACCAGTCATAAGGGTAAATTTTCTGAAATTGAGATTTATACATCATCTCAAAGCTGAATAAATAAGCTCTCCATTGATGTATGGTTTGTTAGTTGTATCTCAGCCAAATATTGTCCTATCCTATTTGAAAATCTGGAATCTGAGGGTGCAATAAAATCTAAATATTGAGAAAATCATCTTTAAAGTTGTCCAAATGAAGTTCTTAGCTATGCATATTACTAACAAAGAATTAAGTTTTGATATATTTACAGTAGGAAACTTACAAAATATCTTCATGGAACATGATCTTTACTTAATATCCTAATGATTTTTGGCATAAAAGAAAAATCTATAATTTTGACCCATGCAGTGTATTTTTGGCTATTGCTACAAATATCCCCCAGCGACTTAACACTGCTTTTGTGCTCCAGGGTCACATATATCAAAACATTATTTATGCATTTGTAACTGCAGGTTAAATGCATTCATGTCCTGCATTAAACAGTGTGTAGGTGCATCTAAATGCGCCTTCAGATGCAGTTTCTGTGTTTCCTCTGCATTGCAAAGATGAATTTTGTTGACACTGATTTCGTTTGCTTGGTAACAGCCCAAATGTCTTATTATTCTAATTCACTGATTAAATGTAAGAATTTGGCTCAAAAGATAATGGACACTTTAAAAAAAAAATGGCTTTATAAAGGTAAAAATGCCCATAAAATGTAAAAATCTATTTAAACTTATTGGAAAAGATTAATTTGACCACCACACAGAATATGAAGAATATGAAAAACTTTAGGAGTCAGCTGTCCAGGGCAGTCCTTTAGCAAAACATCGTCTAAGTATCGTCATCGATAAAATCACAGAAAATATCGAGATATCATTTTTTGTCAATATCACGCACCCCTAATCTGCACCATATGATGACTGCTTTACACTTCAGATAGAGGTCTCGAATACAAAACAATAAGGTCAAACACTGGCTAATAAACTAAAAATTGAAAAAATAATAAATGCTTCATGTAAATAAATGGCATATACCAGTTCACAACATTGCTACAGCTGTTGAGTTTTACCCTTAAAGCCGCTTCGTACCCAGAACACCTCATTAGAAAATGTTGTTCCTTCTACATTTTGACGTCTTTATTTGGTAAAAACAGAGATTACAAACTATATATTTATATTTTTAAAGAAATTAAATGAATTGAGAGTGCATAATAAGGCATTACACCCAGTTTAAATAAAATAATTTAGATAAAAAAAATTATATTTAAAAAAATAATAATTGTATGGTCAGATGAATAAGAAGTTTATAACATCCTTTTTTTAAATTTGAGTTATTCTTCTATATATTTTGCAATCTATGTAGAGCGGGCTATAGAAGGTATGAAATATAGCTCACATTTTCTCACTATTAAAAAACATTAACTATGACTTTTGCCTCACTAACTATTAATAAGCAGCAAATTAGGAGTTCATTAAGGTAGTTGTGTGAAGCTTAGGTATTAGGGATGTAGAATATGGTCATGCAGAATATGTGCTTTGTTAACAATTGGCATGCTAATAAACAACTATGCATGCTCCCTAAACTGTGTTATGTTAAGTGTTATGGAAATGTACAATATCACACAATATTTTGTCAATGTTATGTGCTTGAAATTGGTTGCACTCAGTTGAAATATTTTTCTGCGAACCATGTTTATGACTGCATGAGACCGGTACGTGTAGAAATGCACGTTGCGTGTTTTGGAAGCGCTGCCCTTTACAATTGTAACATAATAAGTGCGTTCTATTGACATGAACAATGTTGTCAGAACGCATTAGGTGATCAGATGATGATGCAACCCGACACATAAAACTGTTAAACACATGCCCATCACCGATGGCGAAATGTCTGTGAGAAACCAGACTGTGTCAACACAGAGCAAAGCCAAACCACAGAACAATCCGGTTCCACCTGTAGAAACGGCGACTTTCGCTAATGCGTGCGTGGGGGCCGTGGGGGCAGACGTGGACGGTGGTCGGCGAGCAGGAGGCCCCT